CACGTTCGCCTCCCTCCCGGCTGCGGGATTTTTTTTTGCAAGGGCACGTTTCCCGGTGCCCGCAGCTGGAGAATGCGTGCTGACAAGTCTCGCATGCCAGAGAGATGCGCAAAGGGCTTGGTTTCTCCTTGAGGAAATCTGTCTCCACTTCATCAGGCGGGGAAACCCTTGGGAAGGACGAAGCAAGGCAGGTTCAGCAGGGTCATTCCAGGTGCCAGCTTCTCCAGCCCTTTGCCAGCCTTCGCAGTGGCCATGCTGGCCTTCCAAAGCTCTTGATCTCCACCAATTTGCTTTCAGGGAGGACATCTGAAATTTTAAAAAATGGACAATCTCACTGGCCCTAAATAAATGTTTCTGAGCAGTTCACATCTACAGCAGATGTCTCAGTCATCCAGTTCATGGATGGCAACTGGACTTTCTTGGGTTTTTTTCTTTGGAAGACATTTCACTTCTCATCCAAGAAGCTTCTTCACCTCTGACCGGACGGGGAATGGAAGGATTGATATTCCTTGCAGACAGCTGGTCATTTGCATCCTTTTAGAGGGTCCTTGAGGCCACTTGGATATTTACCTGTGTCCTCAGGGTCACCTGAGTGGTGCTCCTGGTTTCCGTAGTCTGCTACAGTCTTTTAGCTATACAATTTGGGATAGACACTCTGCATGGTAGGGAGTAGGAAAGGATTTCCAGTGGGAAAAATTGCAGATTACAGGAACCATTTGTGCTCCTCGGGTAACTCTGAGGACACAGATAAACCTCCAAGTGGCCTCAACGACCCTCTAAAAGGAGGCAAATGACTAGCTGTCTGCAAAGAGTATAAATCCTTCCCTTCCTCACCATCCAGTCAGAGCTGATGAAGCTTCTTGGATGAGAAGAGAAACAGCTTCAAAGAAAAACCAGAAAGTCCAGTTGCCTCCTGAAAAAGCACCTTTGGGACATCTAAGAAATCTTAGGAATTTTCCCCAGTTATTGCCTTTTCGTGCAATTATTGCTTGTGGCCAGGATTCCAACATTCAGGCAGTCCTTATTTAGCGACAGTTTGCACTTAGGACAGTAATGAAAAATGAACCGTGCGATCAGTTTTGCATTTATGACCTTCACCGGCATGTAAAGTAAAGGAAAACTCGAGTCAGACCTTAAAGTACAGTTGCGGTTTTACCTAGCAAGCGCTTTGCCGAAGAACCGAATTGCTGGTCCCAATGGTAGTCACTAAATGAGGACTTTAAGGACTCCTTGCAGATATTGTACCCTTTTGGCACCTTGAATTCATTGGCCAGCCAGCATGTTTCTTGACCCTTCCCTGTTGTGACAACACGGCCACAATTCATAAAGAGCCGTGGATTGTTTCTGTCCCAGAAATATTCACAAATTCCTTTGCATTTGCAGAACTGATGTTTTTAATCCATCTTATGCCGGTGATTTTCCTTTACGTTAATGTTTTGCCTCTCCGCTCTCCATTTTTATCCCTGTCACAGCATAAGTAGCTTAGCCTAGACCATGAGTGAATTCGTCCCCTGGACATCACGATGGAGATTTCCAGTCTGGTCTTTCCAGAGCACTAAAATACCCCTTGATTATCCCCTCGTATTGGCCACATCACTAGGTTGCTTTGAATAGGCACTGATAATAACACAACCAAAGCAGCATCTATTGAAATAAGGGACTTTTTTAAAAAAAAATGCCCTGGTTTTTTTCAGCTGTAGGATATAAGTTTAGAACAGTGTGTGTGGCTTGGTTTGTTTTGTTTTTTTTTCAAATTTGCCAACTTTTAACATAGGTGAACTCCTGACTCCCAGAATTCCCTCACCAGCATGCTGACTGGGGGATTCTGGGAAGGGAAGTTTGCCCTTCTTTGAACTATCATACTTGAAAAACGCTGACCTAGCATGCAGACTGTCCGTGTCTTCTCAAAAGATGCTCAGGTTTTGGTGGGAGGGAGCCTCTTTTAGGTGGGGCTTGTGCCTCCATCCAAACGGCCCATCTCTTGAATTATGCTGGTTGCATAACTTTGGACTTAGGTATATCGCTTCTGGGAGGGCAAAGGTTAGAAGCCAAGCTGGGGAAAAGAGGGAAGGAGAGATGGGAAAGGATTGGGTTTGGTTGAGGTTTGTGGGCACTGGGCACAGATTCCTGTGTTGCCTTAAGAGGTGCTTTCTGTGTTCCCACTGAAGGAGAAGGGGAAGATGAGGAGGAGGAGGGGAAGAGGAGGAGGGGAAGAGGAGGAGGAGGAAAGAAGGGGAGGGGAGGAGGAGGAAGAAGAGGAGGGGAAGAGGAGGAAGAGGAGAAGGAAGAGGAGGAAGAAGCGAATAAGAAGGGAAGTGGAAGGAGAAGGGGGAAGAAGAGAAGGAGGAGGAAAAAGAGGAGAAGAGGGAGGAGGAGGAAGAAGAAGATGCAGAGAAAGAAGAAGGGAAGGAGAGGAAGAGGAAGAAGGAGGGAAGGAGAGGAGGAGGAGGAGGAGGAGGAGGAGGAAGAAGAAGAAGAAGAAGAAGAAGAAGAAGAAGAAGAAGAAGAAGAAGGGGGAGGAGGAGGAAGAAGAGCAGAAGGGGGAGGAGGAAGAAAAAGAAGAGGAGGAGGACATGAGTCTCCTTGCCTCTTTTTCCATGCTTGACATGCTGTCGAAGCATTGTGTGCACAATTAAAGCGCAGCCGGAGCCTTTCGGAGCCGAGTCTATTTTGGACAGTCGTCAAGGAGAAGGCTGCATTCCTCCCACTCGCACATGTCAAGCGCTATTTGGAGCCGCTGCTAGTGCAGCAGCCCCCTCCTTCGCCTCCCTTTCTGGGGTGCCAAGGCAGCAAGGCGAACCCCTCCAGAGCAGGCCTCGGTGGCCCTGAACCCCAGATCTGGTGGGGTGGGGGAAGGGGCAGGAGTCGGTCTCCCCATCCAGCTTTGGGCTGAAAAAAACTCAGCCGGCAAAACGTTGGGAAGGATCAGACACACACGTAACCCCATCCACACATGCAGTCCCCACCGGTTCTATGAGAGGGCGCTTCGCTTCCGCCACGCGATTCAGCTGAGCTATAAAAAAAAAGAAAACAAGGGAAAATAGGACAGAATAGGGCAGGGGGGTTGGGCAGGGCCACCCAGAGGTGATATTTGCCAGTTCTCAGAACTACTCAAAATTTTCACAACCGGTACGTCCAAACCGGTCCGAATCGGCCGAATACCACCTCTGCACACATGCACCGCAGGCTCTTCTGCATCTAAATCTTTGACGGGTGGTTAAAAGACAGGCCGGGAGCGAAGCGGCTAGTCCTTAAGGTTTGGCCTCGCCTTCCAGAGAGCAGAGAGAAAGTTGGAGGTCAAAGTCAGCCTTGGGGAAGCCAACCAAGCGTGCCGGCCAAAGCTTCATCCGAGACTCAAAGATCTTTGCCCTACTTAACTCCAGGTTTCCTCCTTCTGAAAGCAGAGCGAGGCCAAACATCCCAAACTCGCTAAGGAAAAGGCCAAGCCACAGGCTGGGTCCTGCTCAGGGCTGGGTTTCCCATTCGGCAGTCCCCCCCTCCCCAAGGCCCCATCCCTGCTTATCTGGAGACCAAAAACACATCGCCGACAAAAATTAAGAATTCAGCACTAAGATTGTCCCACGTTTCTTCTTTTATTAAAAAAAAAAGTTGGCAATTCTGCATCCCGAAAGCAGAGGGGAAATGAAATCGGGATATTCAAAGAAGTGAGTGGTGTAATGAAATCTGGAAGAATGACGACAAATGATAAATGAGCAACAGAAATTAAATTTTGAAAAAAAGGGATGATTAAAGTAAACAATGTTCATGAAATGGGGGGAGGTTTATAAAATTGGTGTTGGTGGAAGGCAAAGAGAATAAACCTACTCAGGTATATACGTTGTTTTTGGGGGTGGGATAAGAGCACAGTTGGAATATGTGGTCTACCTTTTAGTTGGTATAGAAGAAGAAATATAAGGGGAAAATGGTCTCTAGGGAGGGTAGGGTGTGCGCTGTAATATTTGAATTTTTTTTTGTATTTAGATTTATATGTATTATGTTTGTATTTCTTGCATTCCCCCCAAAAAATATTACAAAATGATAGAAGATGATAGATAGATAGATAGATAGATAGATAGATAGATAGATAGATAGATAGATAGATAGATAGAT